TATCGAGTTCGATTCCATTCAGCTCGATGACACAACAACCACACGGTAAAATCGAGAAACTACTTTCTAGTTGAAGCCGAAATCTTCAAGTAAAAGTTTAGCTTCACGACAAAGTATATTGGGTTAGAAGACAATCCACGAGCTACTTACCAATGCTTTGAAGCTCGGTTTCAACGTCACAAATAAAGTTTCCCAAAATAAAAAAAGAAGACCGGACAAAAACTGGTTGTCTTTTTCATCTTTGCACTATTATTGTTAAAAACAAGAATGTACAAAAATGGGCAGTTGTAGACACCCGTTTTTTATCGGACTTAAAAAATATTATATGTTATTATAATAATTACTTATTATTATTATTAGTATTATTATTAATTTATATATTATAATTATTTTGTGGGTCCCATTTCCATTTGTTTTTTCTCACCGACTCAAACACTAACCAACAACAATTATCATCCACTATCTCCATTATTCCACTACCCCACACGTGTTTTGCTTTTACCAAACCCCAACCCTAGCAAAATACTTCATTATTTATTTTCACCTTAAATTATCATGGCCACCATATGGCTGCACCCTACCAAGCTACCTTCTTCACCTTTAACCACCGCTGCAAATCTTTGCATTATCGCTCCTCAATCATGCCTCACTTTTTTCGATGTTTCTCGTCGATTGTATAGCCACCATGGTCCGCACGTGAAGCCAAGGAGCTGACGATTACCTCCCACCAGTAAACCATGGTCGGTATCGCTCCTCTACACCATCAAAATCGTATTCCCAACGATTCTGAGTCTATATCGTCCTTCCCGATTTATTCGGCCCCATGTTTAAACCCCAATTATCCCAACAACGTAGGCTAGCTTCCCAAGTTCCAAACAACTTCATTCCACGAACAAAAAACAACGAAAAAAACGGAGGGCACTTCCCATTTTTTTCATTTAAAATGGAGTTGAGGGATGAAACGAAGGGGGACACTTGGCGGGGTTCTCTCTCTTTGCCTCCCTTCTCTTCCTTCCATGGTTTCTGCAGACTGTACCTGTGACGACAGTGCTTCCGCAATGCTGGCAGAGAAAACAACCATGTTCCCTCCAAATATTTTTTTGGCAGCCGATTGATTGGATGGTGCAATGGAGCTGTTGGCGTGGCTGCTGCTCAGCCGTATCCTCATCGGTACTTCACTGAAGAAGTTGCGATTCTCGATAGCTATTTCGGAAAGCTTTCTGGTAACATTTTTTTTTGTTTTGCATGGATGCTGATCTGGATTTTGTGAGCTCGGTTGTTGGAATTCTCTAGAAACAGTTGAGCAAGAGAACGAGCCTGATTTCTTTTATGATGCTAAGTATTCCCTGCGCCTCTGCCTCAAGGAAAAATGGATGCGTGCCTGTGCTCACATATATAGCATGATGGCAATGTATGAGGAAGTTGTTGCTCTTGCTCTGCAGACTAAATGTTTGCAGATTAAACGTGTCATTTGTCTGTGTGGCGTATAATGGTGATTGATCCAGAGCTTGAAGATGATAAAGACTTGAGAAAGAAGCTTTGACTAATGGTTGCCAAGCATGTCATTGAACAGAAAAAGAGCACTAACATGGGAATGTTTTAAATTGAATTGCAAATGCATTAAAAAGAAGGCTCCTGTACACGTGAAATTAAACAAAACCCCACGTGACCAAGGACTTGGGTAAATTCTCCATATGGTCCTTCAACCATTATGAGTTTTATTTTATTACATTTATTTTTTTATTTTATTTTATTTTATTTTTTCTCTTTGATTTTTTTAATATTTATTTAATACTTATTATCTAACATTTTCGACTTTTTTTAGAAGAATTTCAACCAATCAAAGGTAAATAATTGGAATCGGATTTTTAATTTTTAATTTTTAATTTTTTTCACAATTAAGACAACCGACAAATTAATTGGTAACCGACTCCCGAACCCGACACATTTCTAGTAAAGCACAGATCAGGTAAGACGGTGCCTGATCCACCTAAATGTTTTTAATTGATCGGTGACGACTCTAACACTTTTATTTTAAGTCGAAGCCCAATTTCGAGCCCAAACGAAAGACGGTTGCGACATACCTTATTAATTGTCTCTTAGCTTATGCCATATTAATCAATCAAATAATATATTTTTAATTTACTTTTTAAAATCCATCAGATTATTTTAGTGGGTATTATAAATATCATTCCTTTTAAAAATTTTAATTTCTAGCAATTATACCGATAATATATATATATATATATATATATATATATATTAATAATTTTAAAAATTATAAATACATATTATTTTATAATAGTTTTTTATTATTAAAAAAACCTATACAAATTCAAATTGCCATATGCTGCAGCCTATGCCTAACATTTTTCGTGCTCTTATGGTGAAGTCTCGACCTTCCTCTTTTTTTTTTTTTTTTACTAATTTAAATATAGGGTAAACTACACGGAGACCACTAAATCATGGTAAAAAATAAATGTGACCACCGAACTTTCAATTGAATCAATCAGATCACCTAATTATTTAATTAATTCAATCAAACTATCGACCGTTAATTTTTAACAGAGGTGGTGACATATCTGTTAATAAAATTGGCATAATTATATATTTGATCCTTGATATTTACATACTCTATCAATTTAGTCACTATTTTAATTAAATTAAACAAATTTAACTATCCTATTAAAATGTAACACATGTTAATACATGATTGGAAGATTTCATTTATAAATTTTAAATTATTTAATTAAATAATTTTTCTATCCAATCAGGTGACGATACGTGTCACCACCCAATTAAAATGAAAATAAATGGATAAAGTTGTGCCCAAGAAAAATCAAACTAGGGACAAGGGTATAAAGCAACTAAACGCCAAACCATTGGGTCAAAGGTCCCCAATGGTTTAAAATTAAAACAATTTATATTTGTTTTTTAAGAGTTTGTTGAGGATAAAAAATTAAACAAATTATAATTTATATTAATTGTAAATTATTTTATTGAATTAAAAGTATTCAATTTTTATATAAATTAAAAAAATTTAAATTTTTTTTGTTAATTCGAAAATTGACCGAATTAACCTAAATTTGTTCAGTTCGGTTAATAATTTTCAAATAAATTTCGGTTCGATTTATAGATAAAGAAAAAAAATTCGGTTAATTCGGTTCGATTAATAATTTTCAAATAAATTTTGGTTTGATTAAACGAACCGAATTAACCGAATTGTTGCTTCGATTAATTCGATTAATAATTTTAAAAAAAATCGGTTAATTCGGTTCGGTTAATAATTTTCAAATTAATTCAATTCAGTAAATATTTTTCAAATAAATTTTGGTTCGATTAATCAAATCGAATTAACCGAATTTTTGTTTCGATTAATTCAGTTAATAGTTTTCAATAAAAAAATCAGTTAATTCGATTTGGTTAATAATTTTCAAATTAATTTAGTTCGGTTAATAATTTTCAAATAAATTTTTGTTAAATTAACCAAACGAATTAACTAAATTTTTGCCTCGATTAATTAGGTTAATAATTTAAAAAAAATGGTTAATTCGGTTCGGTTAATAATTTTCAAATTAATTCGGTTCTGTTAATAATTTTCAAATAAATTTTGGTTCAATTAACCGAACTGAATTAACCGAATTTTTTTCTTTAACCGTTAATTGAACCAAAATTATTTGAAAATTATTAGTCGTGAATAATTTATTTAATTTTTTAATAATTTATTTAAATAAATAATTTGTTTAATTGTTTAGCCTTAACAAACCTTTAAAAGACAAATACAAATTGTTGTAATTTTAAACTATTGGGGACTTTTGGCCCAAAGGTTTGGGTGCTTGATCTATCTCTATCCCCTTGTCCTTGGTTCGATTGTCCTTGTGCACAAGTTTGTCCATTTATTTTCATTTTAATTGGGTGGTGACACGTTACACCATCTGATTGGATAAAAAAATATTTAATTAAAAAATTTAAAATTCATAAATAAAACATTACAATCATAACTTAAATTGTATTTGAATTTTTTTAGTAGAATTAAATTGAATCAAATTGTTTGAGTTTATATTTAAATTTAATTATAAATATTTATAATATTATGATACTAATGGATTCAATTTAAACGTCTTTCGATAGTCATATACACTATACATACATGTTTATTCACATGCTATATATATATATATATATATAGGTAGGAGATTTAATTTGAACTTAAAAATAATCTACTTAACTAATTACTAAAATTTTAATGTTATTATAGTCTTATTTTATAACTCATATTTTATTTAAAGTTTTTTAAATCAAATCAAACTTTAAAAATCATGAATTGAATTAAGTCAGATTAATTTTTTAATATCAATTCAAGTTAAAAAATTTATTCTAGTCGAATTGAATCTTATCCATTCCTATGTAATATAATATTGTAGAGAAGTCGTTTTCGCCATCTAGTTTTGAAAATCCTATGGGTTTGAAAGGGCTTATTTTTGAAGTCACCAAGCAACAAAGCCGAAACTAAAAGCCAAAACCATGGGCTGACAAAGTTAACACTTTCTCAAACCTAAACAAAACCGGCTGCTCCGCTCTCTGAATCCTTTGTACACTGCCTTATAATCGGTTTCTTCATCTATATAGAGTAGTGGAAAAAATAATTTTTTCATATAAAATATCTATCTATTAATTTTAAGTAAATTTTTTTATTGATTTAATGACATCGTATATTTATAGATTATTATTCATTTACTTGATGACGTCACATCATACAATTGAGATTTTTTTATTTGTTTGAAAATACTATATAGTCATAAAATTTTATATTTAATTTGAATACTTATAAAATATATGATGTTTTTAAATTAATATTATACAATTCACCTTAAAAAAAATAATCCTCAAATTATATTATATTAAGAATTAAAAATTTTCACGTCCATTTTGCCCCTTATAATCTCCTTTCTTCTCTTTTTGCCTTCATAAAATGGTTGTCTCTTTTTGCCTTCATCTGTTCCATTATTCTGATTCCTTTAAACTATTTGCAGCCTTTTCTTTCTTCCTTTTGTGTTGAAGAAGAAGAAGAAAAAGCTTTCAGCTTTAGGTGCCTGTTGATTGTTACAACTCAGTTGCAGCCAGTTCTTTACTGGGTATGTCTCCTTTTCCAGTTTTATCACTTTTATCAATTGCCTGTTAGGAATGTAGGGAGAATTAAAGTGGGAAATAGTGGCCAATGCACCGGGTGTTTGAGATCTCTGATAATTGTTGTAAAAAGCTTTGTTGTTTTATTGCTCTTCTCAATGGAAACTAGTGGTGGTGTGTTTTCTGGGATTGGTCCTGGACTTTTAGGTCTTGAAATGCCATTAAACCCACAAATTCATCCTCATCAACAACAAGAACAATCTAGGAATCCCCCAACTGCCCAAAACTTGCCTCAATTTCATAGTAATACCCCACAAATGGTTGTTTTTTCTTCTCATCGTGAAACCGACCACTCACTGCACCAGCAGCAGCCTGTTAAACAAGGCTACCCTATTGGTTCCAAGGCCAAGCAACAGTCCCCTCTGAGTGATGAAGATGAACATGGGTTTAACCCTGATGATGGCTTTGCTGCTGATGCCAAGAGAGAGGCTTCTCCATGGCAAAGGATGAAATGGACTGATAGCGTGGTTAGGTTTCTTATAATGGCGGTTTATTATATCGGAGATGAAGGTGGATCAGAAGGGAATATATCGGATCCTACTGGCAAGAATAAGGTTGGTGGTGGATTATTGCAGAAGAAAGGGAAATGGAAGTCGGTTTCGAGGGCTATGATGGAGAAAGGGTTTTATGTTTCACCACAGCAATGTGAAGATAAGTTCAATGATTTGAACAAGAGGTATAAGAGGGTTAATGATATACTTGGTAGAGGGACTGCTTGTAAAGTGGTGGAGAATCAAAGCTTGCTTGATTCCATGGATTTGTCTCCCAAATTGAAGGAAGAAGTTCGGAAATTGCTGAATTCTAAGCACTTGTTTTTCAGGGAAATGTGTGCTTATCATAACAGTTGTGGCCATGGTGCTGGGGCTTCTGCTGCTGGTGCTAATCAGTCACCGGAGGTGGCTACTGAGATATCACAGGTTCAGCACCAGCAATGTCTCCATTCGTCCGATAATTCTCAAATTGTCGGAAATTTAGGTGGAATTGAGACAGAGTCATCGAAATTGGCTAAAGTAGACAGTGAAGAAGAGGATGAAGATGAGGATGACGGTGACAATGAGGACGGTGATGAAGATGATGATGATGATGATGGGGCAGTCGATGGTCACTCAAGGGGGAAGCAAGATGATGAAGATAACCGTGGAAAGCCTTCTCGTAAAAGGCCAAGAAAGGGAGCATATGCAATGTCACCAACGCCAATGATTCAACAATTGAGCTGTGAAGTTATGAACGTGATGCAAGACGGGTCGAAGAGTGTCTCGGAAAAGAAGCATTGGATGAAAATGAGGCTGCTGCAATTGGAAGAGCAGCAAGTCAGCTACCAATACCAAGCATTCCAGCTGGAGAAGCAAAGGCTCAAGTGGTTGAAATTTAGTGTCAAGAAAGAAAGGGGAATGGAGAGAGCAAAGCTTGAGAACGAGCGAAGGCGGCTCAAAAACGAGAGAATGGTGCTGTTTCTTAGGAAGAAAGAGTTTGAAGTGTTTGATCTTCATCAGCCTCAGCCCTTACCTCAACCTCATATGCATTCTTGTAACAACATCTAACATATCTGGATGAAAAAACTAAACATGTGAAGGGGGGTCACATAAGATAGAGATTTTAGAGTTTATATAAGATATAGAGACTGACTATATCATAAAGTGTTCTGTCAAAAATTTGGTTACGAAAATCTATGTTCTCAAACATATGAATTCTATATTTGATTTGTTCTCTTGAATTTTGCTTTGTCTATCAGTATTGAGGGTTTCGGCTCACATTTCAGTTGTATTTATACACGGGCCAATGGACATGGCCAGGTTTTAGTTGTTCCGATCTTGACTTTTGAGAATTTATTACCTCAACCTCGATTTTAGAGGAGTCTCATCAGATGAGCAAAATTAGTTTTGACTAAAAAAATGATTTTTTCGATTCGGTTCAATTAAAAAAGTTCGACTTAAATTGATTTCGAGTGTTAATTTTATAAATTCGACTCAAAAAAAATTTAAGTTCAAGTCGTATTATAAAATATAACTCAAATAATTCAAAATTTTTAATAATTAATTTAGATTTAAAATTTGATTCGAGTTTCTTAACTTTGTATGGTATATGTACCTCACATATGAAAAAAAAAACATGAAGAAATATATATGTAATGTATATGGTTATATAAAAACCATTTAAATTGAAATCAAATAGTATCATAATATTATAAATGTTTACAATTAAATTTAAACGAAAACTCGACTCGATTCAAAAAACACTTTTAAATTAAATTTGAATTATAAAATATGATTAATCAACTCAAATAACTGATTTTTTTTACTCGACTCAACCTTAATCTCATCCCTCTAAACCCTATCAAACTTGATATCATTTTGAGATTCACTAAACAAAACTTAAGATTCTATATAAAAAACACAAACAAAAATATGAAAGGGCGAGGAAATAAAACCAACAAAAAATTCATTAAATTAAAAATTAAGATTAAAAAAAGAACATGCAAAAAGAAAAGTAAAAAAGTGAGAAAAAAAAAATAAAATCCCAAAACAATAGATGAAAGAGGCAAGAAGACTCACCTTTTGAGTAGGGTGGTTTCCAATGATTGAAAAACATTTTTCAATAATCTCAACATTAAAGAATTTTCTCTTGGTGGAGTAAAAGATATAACTATTAGATCTGACGATGAAAGAAAAAGATATAATTTTATTTCGATTTAATTTGACGGTGAAAGAAAAAGATAAAAAAAATCAACTTAGATTCATAAACAGCGGAGTGTTTTCAAAGAAATAAACAACTAATTCGAAATTAGAAGACTTAAAAGGTGTTGTTCGAAACTTTTGGAGTTACATGATAATTGAAGAGAATGATTAGTGCGTTGGTAGAGATGTACTTTTAGGGATTTAAAATTGATAGTAGAGCGACTGGAAAAAGGGAAATGAGAATTAAAAAAGAAATACGATCTTTTATAGTAAAATATTTCGTAAAATAATTTTTTATTCTAAATCTGACATGTCTCGTCATGAATCTAACTTTTAAAGGAAAAAAATTGATGTTATAAAATTGAGGTAGGTCAAGAATGAGTCTGCAACAAACATTACATATGGATATACACCAATATAAAATAGAGTACAATTTACAGATGATCATTAAACTATGATAAAACGATCCTTTTAGTCAATTATTTTTTAAAAATTATAAAATAAACATTAAATTTTAAATTTTGTTAAAAATATAAGCATCAAACCTTAATTATCGTTATGAGGTAATGTAACTTTTTAAATTAATAAACTATCTTATTTAGTCCATCAAATATGACTAAATTTTTATTTTGATAATTTTTCAATGTTTTAAGAAATAATTTCAAAAATAAAAAAGAATTTAATTTTAAAAAATATACTAATTTCACAATTTAATTTTAAAATTATAAATATATTCTTAAAATTATATTTAAACGTATTAAACAAAAGTTAAATAATTGAATTACATTGTTTAACAAAAAAGTTGCCTTCACTTTCTGATAATTGAAATTGTTGAATCTCAAAAAATCATAAATTATAAATTTTACAAATTTAATTATAATTGAATAGAAAATATTTATAAAATAGTTTGATGAACTAAAAAATTCATAAAGTTATAATTTTAAAAATGAATATAATTTTAAAAATGAATTGTGAATTCTACATACATTTAAAAAAATAGAATTATCATTTAGAATGAAAAATATCAAAAATAAAATTTTAGTTACAATTGATGGTGAAATGGTGAAATGAATTTTTTTTAATTTATTATGTCGCTTCATTCATTTAAAGACCGTTAAAAATGCAGTATTCATTTTACAAAAAAAATTAAGGTAAAAGGGTACCATACGCCCTTATACTTTTTCAAAAAAAAAATAATTTGGCCCTTGAATTAATTTTGTATTCAATGAGACCCTCATACTAGTAAAATACTAAATGTGACTCTTTGATCAACGGTTTCTGTCGTTAACCATTACGGTACTGATGTTACAATTCACAAGCTGACATATTTGTTTACTATATTGATGTGATAATCTACAATAGCTGAAGACGTGATAAATGAGCTAAATTAGTTTTTTTTTATTGAGTTTCAAGGCTAAATTGGTTTTTTGAAAAACTTAGGAGCTTATTTGATTTTATAAAAGTAAAATATTTTAAATTGAAAAATATAAAAATATTCAAAAAGTAAATATAAAATACAAAAAATGAAAATCAAATTATTAAAAATTAAAAATATATTATTATTTTTATCTGGAGTTTAACATAATTATATATATATATAATTTGAACTTGTTCATCCTGAAGAAGCTATATTTTATATACACATTACCTTTTTACCGCTAATTTTTATTAAATTTAATTACATAAATATTATAGTCTTATGCAAAATAAAACGAAAAATGTTTTTATTTTATATTCATTTTATAGAGAATAATTTGTTATTTTTTAAAAAATAAAAATAAATATTGTTATGTTCATACATAACAGTTCTAATGTTAGTTTTATATAATATTTATTTTTTAGTGACGAATTTATTATTCATTAGAAGGATATTATAGGTGATAAAAAGAACTTCAAACATGTGGAGTAACAAGGGCCTTTAGTATCCTTCTGCTCAATTTTATTTTGAGATCAATTTTAGTTAAGTTTATTTCACTCTATCTTGTTATATTCGCTAAAATTTCTCTTATTAATTGTAAAATTACTTTTAAATATTTTTTAATTATATAGTTTCATGATACTTTATATATAAGTTTTCTTTACTTTTATTTTTATAAGGTTTTATAATAATTATTTAATTAAATTAGAGGTAAAAATCAGATTTATATTAAATAAAACTTGTGAAGAATTCACTTCAAAAAATATTTGTGTAGGATGGACAAGTTCATATTTATATAAATTAAATTAAATTTTGAGATAAAATATAATAATATATTTTTAATAATATAATTTTTATTTTTGGTATTTTTATATTTAATTTGTTTGAATAATTTTATATTTTTTTAAAAAAATTAGATAGGCAAAATCAATTTAGCCCATCAACATGGCTTTAGCTACGTCATCAGCCATCGTGAACCGTCACATTAATACTACAAACTACCACACCATCTCCATGAAGTGTCACTTTAGCACTGTAACGGTCAACAACGAAAACGTTGGTCAAATGACCATATTGACTTTTTTCTAAGTCTAAGGGTCACATTAAGTACAAAAATAATTTAAAGGTCACATTGATTTTTTTAGAAGTACAAAGATCTCTATACATTTTACCAAAAATTAAAATTTAATGTTAATTCTATAACTGCTTAAAATTTAATATCTAAAAACTATTTTAACATAATTAGTAACAATTTAAAATTTTCATCCTATAAATTAATGATATATACACATCCATTCTAAAATTTTCGTTAAATCAAAACTATTAAGTCTGAATCTCATATTCATATAAAAATGAAAGTTCCTTACATTTCTAAAAAGAAGCCTCCTTATTCTGTCCATTAATATTTGTTTGTTATTTTGCTTATTAATAGTTTTATCCTAATAATTTTTATTTTTTTTTCAGCATTATTGTATTTATTAATTTGATATTTCATAGTTATTAATATGCATTTGGATTTGTTTTGATATTTTGATTGTATAATATAGAATTATATACTAAAAATGTTAACTTTATTCTGCTAAGTAGAACTGATCTAATTAATCAAAATCATTTCGTTTTGATTAAATTGTTCATAATAATAATAATTAGATTAGTAACTTTAATTGATATTTTCAAAATTTTCATCAATAAAAAATTAATTCCATTATTAATAGAACTGAACCATCAAACAAAATAACAAAACTTAATAGAGTGAAATCTCTTATTTTGCTATTATTTTTCTCTTTTTCTTAGTTCCAGGTTTTCTTTTCTGATTAACATAGTCAGATGTTGCTTAAGTCTTTCTATCTTTATTTCTTTTTTTTTCTTGAAGGGGGAGAGCTTTGTATGTAATAATATAACATAAACATACAAAAGCTCGACGAAAAAGAAAGAGTTCCATTAAAAAACTTTTATAAGTCTAAGTGAAGGAAAAAGAGTGTATTTAACACCCTAATCTAGCTCGATCCGAAGATCAGAAATTAAGGCATCACACGGGACCACTGAAGTAACTAACCCAATTTTAAAAAAAAAATATTTGTAAAACATCAAATAAAAACCATCCATAGTAGTATAAAATAAAAACGCAATAATCAATTTACAAAATACGGGAAGCTCTCAATACATCCAAAGTAATAAATAATATTGAGTTTAAAACAAAATAAAGTTAAGACTGAATACAAAAGGTCTACGAATAGTAAATGCACTCTAAATATGACTCAAGACGATTCTGAAGCCTCAGTTGATCTTGAACCACTGGCAACAATAATGCTCCGTGAACGATCTCCTAAGAACATGCGCACGGAAATGCATTATGCGTTGAGTTTACGAGCTTAGTGCCACACTAATAATTGTAATGCACTACATACATTCACTACATAAAAAAACTAGTGGCATATGTATGAACACATAAGAATGTTGATTGTGAAGTTGAGGTAAGGATTATGGTGTGACTGAGGGTTCTTCATCTCAAAACACACACCTCTCTAGCTTACCTAAGATACCCTTGGGTGTCTGAGGTGAGATCTGAAACTACATCGAAAATGTACACCCGACCAAATTACTCTGTTGAGTCTTGGGTCA